CATTTCACCAAAATTTCTCGGCGCCATATAGAGAACTAGAGCCTGTGAGGTACTGATACTATCCATGTACCTCGCAGGCTCTAGTTCCAAGCCAAAATGGCTAAAAATTGCCCGCAATTGTTCACATTCCCATCTTTTGTTGGTAAGACGAAGAATATGAAATAAATTATGAAGAAGATAATGATGAATAAAATATCACTTTTTATATTTTTGACACGTAAAGTTGTCACTTTTCTGTCAAACTGTTTTTATCGTTTTCGTATATAACAAAACAAAAATTAGTTTTTCCAGAAGATCGATATGTCACAGGTAACGTTTCATTAATTTATCATACAGAAGAAGAACAATCACCATTGAAACTTAAAGTATGGATTGATGACTTTAATTCTTCAGAAATAACTAAAGATATCGGATCTCAATCATATGATTATTCATGTGTTATTTCAAGTACATTATCATTTGGAACTCACACATTACATACTCAACTTATCTACGGAAATGGTTTATTTTCAAACATTGCTTCAGTTGATTTTGAATATGATATTAAATCTACAATATATGTTGAAAATCTTGAAAAAATTCTTTACAACACAACTACAGATCAAGGAGTTAATATCAAAGGTCATGGAATATTTAAAGGAGATAGCATTAGCATTTTATGTAAATATGATGATGGTGATCAAATTTCATTAACCGGAAGAATATCTCCAAATATCGCTATTCATACATATAGTTTTGATGGTTATTGTCCGTTTTCTGATTCAATTTCTGGCAAAGACTATTCTACTCTTAAAGTATGGGGAGTAACTGATCTTGGTGAAAGTACAAATAATTATTCAAAGAAAATTTACTTCAAACAAATTCCAGTTTTAACACTTACGACACAAAATAATCGAACATTTATACATAACAAAAACAAAAACATTTCTGTGACAGGTAATATTTCAAATCTTTACACCGATGACGAACCTGATATTCAAATAAAAATTGATTATATTCCAATTACAGAATTTACAAAGAATTATCAATCTCAATCTGAAGAATTTCCAAAGAATTTTTCATTCAAGATCAATATAACCATTCCAAATACTCTTGCTCTTGGGCAGCATAAAATTACCATCGAATTTACTTACGAATATAATGAAAAATATTCAGCAAATCAATTATTTTATTTCATTAACAATACACATTTTCGTACTTTTACTGAAGGTATTAGGTGTTATTCACATAAGATTTATAGACGTTAATCAAATCGAATCAAATCGTTTATATCTCTTATTTTTTAATTTAATTTTTTGCATAAAAATTTGCGTGTACTATTTTAAAATAATTTCAACCCTTTTTTAGTAAGCATATTCGAAATATCACTTATTCCAATGAAAATGTGAATAGTCAAATTTTATGAGTATTTTTAATATCTGCTTATAAAAGTATACTTAATCAGTGTGACAGCTGCTATAATGAATGTTTGCCTATAAGTACAACAAATTTTTAAATCTTGCCAATAAAAGAATGATGACGAATCATTATGGATGAAAATATTTCATGTAAATAAAATTATTAAAAAAGGATGAATGGTAAACCAAGAGAACATTATTAAAGTCATTACCAAAGGAACATTAGATTACAGATACTCAAAAATCGTCATTTAATTATGAATCTATTCCACAAGTTTGAAATTCAAAGAACATTTTCATGAAAATCAGTTCAAATAACAAAAACTGTCATCCCAGAATTTTTAAAAAGTGACAAACATCAAGATAAATTAGTTTGAGATTAGTTTGATTGAATATGCTACTTTCACAGTAAGTCTTAATCTCTTGATGAAAATGTGTTTTTTACCCAAATTCATCTTATGAATTGGGCGCGTAAAGGTTTGGCGTCCTAAGGTGTCCTGATGTAAACTATTCAATTTTTGAGAAGTTTACACCATAATTGAATAGTTTATGGCGTCCTGAGAGGAGATTTCAATGGGTATGGCGTCCTAAAAAATAGAAGAAAATGATTTTTTCTCGATTTTTCTAGAAATTGAATTTTTTAAAAAAGAAAAAAATCAAAACGTATACATTCAAGAAAGACTATAAATGAAGATTTTTCTATTTTTTTTCATTCGAAAACATCTTTTTTTGGATAATTTTTTTTTAATAAATATGTAAGAAAGATTGAAGAAAAAGTAAATTTACTTTAAGAAAATTCGTTTTACATGATGTAAGACCCATAACAACTATAAATATTCAATTATTTAAAATAAAAAAAGAAAAACAGATTAAATAAAAAAAAGGTAGTGGGGCTTCCAGGCACTTCGTGCCCTCTAGCCCCGAAGATGTTTAGTATAAATGAAGTTTTTATTCGGAAAATTGTTAGTCTTCTGGTGTGAATTCGGAGGACTCTTCTTCTTCCTCCATTGCTTCTGGGAAGAAGCCTTCTTCTGGGTCGAAAACATTATATAATGTGTCACTTTTCACAAATTATATATGTTTTCATGTTTTGTCACTTTTCTGTCACTTTTCAGGGAAAAACATTTTTATTATTATATATAAATGAATTTTACAAAACCACCGTTACCGTTCTTTGGAAATAAGAGTAGATGTAAAGATATTATATTGAGAGAACTTAAGAAACTACCGAATGGTCTAACATTTGTAGATTTGTTCGGTGGAAGTTTCTATATATCCCATTTGTGCCATACAATATTCCCAGACTCAAAGATTATATGCAATGACTTCGACAACTATATGGACCGTCTCAAACATTATTCCAGACACAAACAATATTATTGAAAGAGTTAAAAGAAAAGATACCTATAGGTAAGATGGAAACGTATACCATTAGATAACAAAAATATTGTGAGAGAGGTTTTGAAAAAAGCAGAATATATAGACTGGGATAGTATATCTGCTAGACTATTATATAGTGGTTCTATAAGAGTTCATGACATTGAAACACTTATGTCAAAAGTTTTATATCTTAACTATACAAATGTTTTCAAAGAGGACATAGAAAAATATATTGAGGGTATAGAGTTTGTGAGATGTCATTGGACAGAGTTGTATGAAAAATATAAAGACAAGGAAAATGTTTTCTTTATAGTGGACCCGCCGTTCTTTAACACATGGGATTTTCAATACCAAGTAGACTGGACTTTGAGAGACTCTTTAGAAACTTTAGACGTTTTACATAACCATCCATGCTTTTACTTTACATCCGATAAAAGTGGTTTGGAAACCGTTATGAGATGGTTAGAGGACATACATGACTATGAGTTTAGATATGACAAGATAGAATATGAGAGAGGTCCTATAAACCGAGAGAAAGTGTCATAACAAAGAAATTTTATTAGTAAGTAAATGTGGTTTGAAATAGGACTACTTGTTTTAGGTTTTTTCCATTGTGTCATTTATTTCTTTTGACGTGGCAGAAAAGTACAGAGAATATGAAGATGAACCAATGCCTGCAAATGTTCAGTATATGTACTCGTAAGAGATATTTTTATCTAATATTAAATGGACGCACAGAACTTAGCGAATGCACAGCAACCTGGACAACCAAACCCAGAGAATATTCCAAATGAAGTTAGAATACAAACTGCAATGGCAAACTATGGTCAAGTGCCAACAGATGTACAAATGCAAACTGCCATGTCAAATGACGCTGCGTTTAGGTTTGCCACCATGGTATGCAAATATGAGATGGAAAGAGTTTTATACAAACCCTGAAGTGGGATATAAACAACTTTATGCAGATGACGCGAACACAGGAGTTGACCCAGAATATGTTTTCTACCAGAGGAGAAACAGAATGTATGAGCTCCAGTTAAAGAATGCTATGGAACTCAACAGGAAACGTAAGAGACTAGGCGGACATTAGATTTTTACATATAGTAAAATGGGTTTCTTCAGTAAGATAGGAAACTTCTTTCGAAATGTTGGAAGAGGTATATGGAATGGAATAAAAACCGTAGGAAGAGGAATTTGGAACGGAGTCAAAAATATTGGTAAAAGGGTAGGTCAGTTCGTTGGTATTATACCTAAAGACCCTGAACCAGAAGAACAAGCTCCTGTTATACAACAGCCTGAACCTGCACCACAGTCTAGTTGGCAACCAAATCCAACACCACAACCGGTATATTAAAAAATTATATTTTTACCGTTCGATAGTAGTTGTATATGAAACTAAGTTCTAAGTAAAACGCATGGTATAATGGAATTATTCTTTTTCTTCCATCTGTAGTAAACCATACTTGAAAGTCTGAAATACTTCCACTTGTGGTTCGTATAACTTTGTAGGTTTTTCGTAAAAGTCATTTGCCAAGCATAAGAAAGAGTTTTGGGCGCCAGAAAATGAAGCATGAACAATAATAGCATCTTGGTCGAAAACATTTTCATATGTTCCATTAGGGTTTTCGACTTCATAAAAGTCTGGGTGTACTGGATATGCTGCAGGCTGATTTAACATCCTCATAAATCTATACCATGCCAAGTTGTTATATTTTGTAGAAATATAAACGTTTTCTCCAAGGTCTTCTATTCTATTGATTTTAACAGTTGCATTTTTCCTGTCATAAATAATATCGAGATGGTATTCTCCTTCGTCAATGTTATACTGTTTGCATATTCGATATAGATATCGTTTATTTTTTCTTGAAAAGCTTGAAGAGTTGTTTCTAAGTTTACAAGCAAACTAACTTGTAAAAGTTTTCCCTGTTCAAATTTCTCATACATACGTTTTTCTTTGTTATAGTATCGAACTTCAAAACCGACCGTAAATGGGAAACCATGTATGGCTTCTGAAATGAACTTCATTCTACGAAAGCCAATAGCTTTTGTGACAGATGGGTCTCTTAGCCATCTTAATGGGTAGTCAAAACGATAGCCTTCATGCTTTACGGTCTCTGTCTCAAACTTTTGACCGACATTAGTAAAAAGTTCATCTAATGGTTTAGTTGTAGCAACTCTTGAATTTTCTTTTTCTATTGGAAGCATATTTTATCTAGAATAAAAATGTCGAAAGATATTGCTTCCATGAGAGAAATACAACACAACCGACAACTCATTATGCAAGCTCTAAATAAGAACACAACAAACTTTTCAAACTATTCTAAGATATCTGAGTCATTGAAAGAAGGAAACTTAAAACTGACATTAAACCCAATGACAGATGAGTTTCTATTTCAAGACAATAAGAACCATACTGTCTGTATAAATCCAACAAAAGGAACTTTAAACGAGAAACCTATAAATGAACTTCTTTTGAAAGCAGATGTTGACAACAAAGCTGACAAAGAATATGTAGACGATGCAATAGCAAAAGAAGAAGAAAGAGCTAACAATGCTTATGCAACAAAAGAACATACTCATCCTGAACTAGCAGACAAAACATATGTTGACAATAAAATGTCAAGTGAAGTGACAAGAGCTGAAAACGAATATTCTAAAAAGACTCATATACATTCTATATCTGAAATAACAGACTTAAACGTTAGCCTTGAAAAGAAAGCGGATGAGGAATATGTGGCTAGTAAGTTAGAGAAGAAAGCAGATAAGGAATATGTGGATGAAAAAGATAATGAAATTATAGAAAGGGCTGAATGGTATCATGAATGGACATCGAAGATTTTAAAAACTAAAGCTGATACAGGATGGGTTTCAGGATGTTTAGACCTTAAAGCAGATAAAACTTATGTTAACGATGAGTTAGAGAAGAAAGCAAATAAGACTCATACACATGATTTCTTTACAACTGTTGCTATAGAAAGTATTGAAGGAACGGTTGAAGAAACTGGTGGGGATGCATTATATTGTAAACCTCCTAACTTTCCACAAGGTTTAACATCGGATGACAACATAACGACGATGAGAAACATTAGATGTAAAGATGTTTATGTCATGAAGGATGAACATAATATTAAATTCACTGCTCAAGATTTATATGACAAGAAAGCAGACAAAACAGAGCTTCAAACATTAAAGACAGAAATACTTCAAACATTATATCCTATAGGCTCTATTTATACGTCAATGAACTCTACCAGACCAGAAACAGTTCTGGGTTTTGGAACTTGGACTCAAATAGTCGACAGGTTTTTGTATTGTGCAAACTCTTCAAAGGAAACAGGTGGAAGTAAAACGATTTCAGGTGAAAATTTACCTGCACACAGTCACTACATAGATTTAAGTACATCTCAAGCAGGTTGGCATAAGCATAGATATTGGGATTGGTCAGCAATGATAAAAGGTAAAGGATATGATGTTAAAGACAACGTTAAGTTTGCTATAAATTGTTACTGGAGTAACACTGAGGGAGGAGGAAACCATACACATCACGTTTCAGGATATACGCAAACAACGGGACAAAGTAAAGACTACATGCCACCTTACATGACAGTTTACGCATGGTATAGAAATGCTTAGTCGTCATTTTCAACTTCTTTAGCATATTCGTCAGGAGTTGTCTTATATTTGTTAGGAACTGTCTTTGAAAGTATACCACCTTGAACTTTGACAAGTTTGAAACGAGGTCTGGCAATAGTAGTTTTATCTTCTGCTTGCAGTGTGTACATTTTGCCATGTTTGCCTAAAACTTCATAATATTCTCTTGTATACTTTCTTCTATTTTTACGAACACGAATGTGAGTACCTGTCGGGTTCCCATTGTTGTCATAGTCAATAGTATTTTCATATGGGTCGCGTTTAGGTATTTCTATTTTTACTTTGTCACCTTTCTGAAGTTTGAAGCCCGGCATTCTTTCTTGTTTGTCTCTTTTGACTAAATTATTAAATATATAGTCTTTCTCTAAGTCAGGGTTGTTTTTCATTTCTTCGGGGAGTGGTTTCCCAAACCTTTTTGTTTACGGCTATTGTAAATATTTAAAACTTGTCTCATCTTTGCCATGGAGAAGTGTCTATATTTGTCGTCATATGACATTTCATTTGCTTCACCACCTTGTGGTTGGTTTAAGTCTCTTAACATTTTTATACAACCGTCAATGACACCAAGAGCAGAATGGTTTTGGTCGACAATGAAATATTGGTTTACATTTTTTGAACGCAGATAGTTTTTTACATCATCTGATTTGAAAGAACTTTCACAGTCAGATGTCAGTTTTGTTGGATGGTATTTGTCAACGAATATTGTCAAAGCAGTTTTCACATCTAAAATATTTTTGGACCATAATGGTATGGCTTCACAGTATCTTGTGTTTTGACCGACAAATATTAGCCAGTATGGTGGTCCATCTGTTCTAACTCTCGGAATGTTTTCCAAGATATCCATAAACCAAGCATTTGGTGTTGAACTAAAGATTTTTATCATGAGTGCTTTCTTTGTCGCTTTAGAAACATAGGGGTCCTTGTTTGGATTCGTCATTTTTTATCCTATAAGAAATGGGTTTATTTGGCGCATTAGCAGGAGTTGCATCCAGATTTTTGCCCGCAGTGGGAACAATAGCCAGAGGTGCATTTGGAATTGGAAAGAAGATTTTGAGTACATTAGGTATACTTAAAGAGAAAGCACAACCTATTATACAAACTGTACAGAAAGGTTGGGATGTAGCACGAGATGCAACAAATCTTATTCCAAATCCTGAAACAAGAGGAAAAGTTCAAGGATGGATGGACAATGTAGGAAGACAAGCAGGAAACTATTATAACAAAGCAAATGACTACTATAACCAAGCAGGACACTATATGGACCAAGGTGAAAGATTCTTTAACAGAGGATATAACCATGCACAACAATGGGTAAACAATAACCAACCTCAACCGCCTCAAACGTGGGGAATGTAAAGTTTTTTACTGAGATGAAATGAACAATACAGCATTGAGACAAATGGGTTCAAGATGGATTTGTCGACTTCCAGCAGTTACACAACGTGTTTGTCAAGTTCTTCCTATACCTCAGGAAGTTTTAGACCGACTTAAAAAACCTAAACAACCAGTTGAAAACAAACCAAACTAAAATTTTTTACTGAGATGAAATGACCGAAGAAGTTGAAACGGTAGATTTGACACCACAAACAAAAAGTTCAGAACCATTGTCAAAACCTGTCAAAGAACTTACAGATGAAGAGAAAAATTCAATAATAGAAAGTGCCAGGTCTGGAAATACAAACCCTAACTACAAAGTCACTTTTCATAAAAATGGAACGGCAAGTATCTCAAAAAAGAAACAGACTCTCACAAATAAAATATTGAAGTCTGAAGGAGCTTTCGAGACAACAGATGGAAAAGTTTACTTCACTGACCAACAGTTCATTATAGAACATCTCATTGACTTAGAGTCGAAATATTCTAAACTTTACAACAAACACAAAAAGTTGAAAGGAAAACAAAAACAAATGGCATATGATATTTATGAAGATGTTGACGACACAACTGTTCCTGCAAGTGAAGTAAAGTCAGAGAAACCGAAAAGTGACGAAAAACCGATAGAAGAAGAAAAACCAAAACCAAAGTTTAGTTTGGAAACTAAACCAAGTCAACCTTCATTAGCTGGTATGGGTTGGCGTCAAAGACTTATGGCAGCAGGCGGTTATGTTAAGTAAAGAAAAAAATATTTTTTTTCTTTTTATAAAAATGCCCCCATATAGAATGGATAGAAAATCTGCTAGAATAAAAGCAGAGTTACAAAGATATGGTTGGAGAGTTTCGAAGAAGTTTAAATATAAGAAAGGAAGACCCATAAAAGTCTATGACAAACTGGCTGGTCTGACCTACGAAATGGATTTGGAAACAGCACGTGCCAATTATCCAAACAGACTAGAGAGGTTAGAAGAAGAACGTCTTATGGACATGCCTTTCGATGTGTTAAACATTGCATGAAGTAAAAATTTATTTTTTAAAAAGTGACATTTTTAAAATTTTATTTGAAATGTACGCTGAGTTTGTTGGAGAAGACCGTTGGGAAACTTGTTTGTTAGATGAGAAATATGAAATGGCATACCATTTTAAAACAATATATTTTTACATATATTAAATGCTTCAGGTTGAAAAACAAAGAACAAAAGTAGCAGATACAAAACCGTTAGACTATATCTTTACAAATGCTGGTAGGACTATTTCAGATGAAGAAATTTCATCCCGAGTATACAGGTTTGACTATCCAATTCGTTGGCTTCAAAGTCCTTCAGATGCAAAGGCAATAGGATTTAGAAGAGTTTTGTTTTCAAATAGAACTAACGCATTTATGTTCGCAGTATATTTTCATGGGCAGTATAAAGGTTCTGATGGTCTAATAGACAAATTTGACGAAATGAGAATCTTTACAGTTCGTTCAGACGAAAGTCTTGAGAAAACTCTAAATGACTTTCAAACTCAAATGAACAAATATTATTGGGAATTTCAAGAAAAATACGACTCTTTACTAAATGGAACATACTATCTGAAACTAGAATATGACAAGATGAACTCCACCGTTTCATTTCAAAAGATTGAAATTAACCCTCCAAGAGATACAGAGTTTTTATTTGGAAAGTAGACAAACGTTCTTGGGCACAATTTCTTCGGTTACTAAACCAGAACGAACCATTACCACCAGATGGTCCATTTAAATTTATACTTCCACCAGCAGATTTGACAGTTTATAGAAACGTGTTTGACCCTCAAAATGTTATGTGTCATGCAAGTTTCAGTTCAAGCAACAATAGTTTTCTATGTATTGGTAAGGACTTTTATGACTTTGCTTCTAAATTCTACGAACCACCTAGTAACAGTTTCTCTGACTTTCAAGTTTGGTTCACAACAAATGGTGTGCAACATATTATTCCATTGTACTATGACTTTTATCTCGAATTGTCTTTCATCTATAACTACGGAAAAGTGCTGAAAAAGTATTGAAAAATAATGTTTATGTTAGCATGTTAGATCTAACACGTTTTCTAACCACTTTTCTAACATCGTAGAAAACTCATGAAAACAATTTATTTTTGACACTTTCACAAAAAACATAAAAAAAGTGAAGTTAAACGTTAAGGTTTACTGAACTGGTTGGATGTCGCCTTCACAGGTTATGAAGAACGGTTGTCCTGAGAAGTGGAACAGTGCTCTGAGAATTTGTATAATTCGTGGAATTGGACTCTCTCTGTTTGGAAGTAGTATCCAAGGACGCTTGGCAAAGAACTTTATAATGGCTTCCTTCTTTGCTTGCTTTATGTCGTCGTAGGCTGTCCCGTCTGGTACCTCAATTGGAATTCCAGTCGAAGTCTCGAGATTCAAGGCAGCCCTTCCAGAAATAGTGGTGAACTTGACCTTGGGCTTCATGACCTTGCGCAAGTAGTCTTTTACGCAGTCGTTAAGTTCAATTAGGTAAATTGCCTCGTCGGTAGGTTCGACCTCGACCATTGCTACTGTCAGAAAAAGTACTGCTACTGTCAGTAAAAGTACTGCTACTGTCAGAAAAAGTACTGCTACTGTCAGTAAAAAGGAAAATTTGAGAGGGTTTTCGACGATAAAGTACTGCTACTGTCAGTAAAAGTACTGCTACTGTCAGAAAAAGTACTGCTACTGTCAGTAAAAGTACTGCTACTGTCAGTAAAAGTACTGCTACTGTCAGTAGCAGTACTGCTAGTAGCAGAGATTTTTATCGTTGTGGTCCGACGGTTAAGCCACAAACGAATGTCCGACGTCCCACCAACCGAGTCCATTCCCAAACCAGAGGAACCTAAAGAACCACAACAGTCTCCTCAGCAACCTCAGTTCCAGCAAGTACCTCCGAATTTCTACCAATTTCCACCTCAAGGTTACTACCCACCACAAGGCTTCCCGAACTACCCTCCTCTGCCTATGCCTTACTTCCCCAACCCTTGGATGTTCCAGCAAGCTCCACCCCAGCAATTCCAATCTCAATCCAAATCGAAGAGAGACCAAGAGTTCGAAGAAGGTCTGAACCGCTTACGCAAAGAGTATGCCACAGCTCCAATTGAGAGAAAGTTGTTCCCGGACCAAAAATATAATTTATGTTAACATGTTAGATCTAACACGTTTTCTAACACGTTTTCTACCCTCATGAATTTTCATGACTTCTTCGTAAATGTTTTGTCAAGACTTCATCGTAAATGTTTTGTCAAGACTTCTTCGTAAATGTTTTGTCAAGACTTCATCGTAATGAGTGTAAAGGACCCAAAAATAACGTTTAGGGTAGATGGTTAGATCTAACACGTTTTCTAACACGTTTTCTAACCTCTTGAATTTGTCATGAATTTCCTTAAGATAGAAAAAATAAAGTTAGTTTTATTTTGTATTTTTTGTATAAAAGATATGATTTCAGGGATTTTTTTGACGAAGTGTAAACCTTCACTTCGTCAAAAAATAACAGTTATCTAATGAAAAAGTGTCATTTTTTTCATTTGACGAGAATGTCGGGTAGATGGTTAGATCTCACCTCATTTCTACCCTTTTGAATTTGTCAAGACTTCTTCGTAAATGTTTTGTCATGACTTCTTCGTAAATGTTTTGTCAAGACTTCTTCGTAAATGTTTTGTCATGACTTCTTCGTAATGAGTGTAAAGGACCCAAAAATAAAGTTTATGTTAGAATGTTAGATCTAACACGTTTTCTAACACGTTTTCTAACCTCATGAATTTTCATGAATTTCCTTAAGATAGAAAAAATAAAGTTAGTTTTATTTTGTATTTTTTTGTATTTTTTTGTATAAAAGATATGATTTCAGGGATTTTTTTGACGAAGTGTAAACCTTCACTTCGTCAAAAAATAACAGTTATATAATGAAAAAGTGTCATTTTTTGTATTTTTTTGTATAAAAGATATGATTTCAGGGATTTTTTTGACGAAGTGTAAACCTTCACTTCGTCAAAAAATAACAGTTATCTAATGAAAAAGTGTCATTTTTTGTATTTTTTTTGTATTTGACGAGAATGTCGGGTAGATGGTTAGATCTAACACGTTTTCTAACACGTTTTCTAACCTCTTGAATTTTCATGAATTTTCCCGAAATAAAAAATAAAGTTAGTTTTATACAAAATTCATGCAGGAAATTCTTGAGTTTTGGTTGAAAGAATACGGTGGAGCCAAAAGTGGCTCGACCTCAAAACAAGCATTTTATGAGCTTACTAAGGGTGTTATGAATGAATTCAAAGGTATTTACATACATCCTGACCTCGTTCATTTTGTTGCTGAATTCAGCAAAAATAAAGTTTATGTTAGCATGTTAGATCTCACCTGTTTTCTCACCTGTTTTCTAACATGGTCTAAAACTCTCGAAAATCATGAAATTTACACCAAAAATAAAGTTTATGTTAGAATGTTAGATCTAACACGTTTTCTAACACGTTTTCTAACCTCTTGAATTTTCATGACTTCTTCGTAAATGTTTTGTCAAGACTTCTTCGTAATGAGTGTAAAGGACCCAAAAATAAAGTTTATGTTAGAATGTTAGATCTCACCTGTTTTTTCACCTCTTTTTTCACCTCTTGAATTTTCATGAATTTTCCCGAAATAAAAATAAAGTTAGTTTTATTTTTTTATTTTTTTATTTTGTATAAAAGATATGATTTCAACAATCGGCACAACAACAATTCAAACAACAGCACCAAACTCTTTAGTCATGAATCCAACATCTATGTTAGTAGAAATGAAAAGCTTCATTCCTTCTTCATATACTTTTGAAACAGAAATCCAGAAGATAAAGCAAGAACTTTTAACAAGTAATTTAGACTGTAGTGCGAAAGATGAAACAAATGAACAGTATCTTTATGAAATGCAGGACATTATTGACCATTTGCCTAAACTACCTGAAATCCAACAACAAAAACTCACTATTCCTGAATTCGATGAAATAGAAGTGAAACCAACTGACTCAGTAGAAATAAAGAAGTTCATACGAAAGGTAAACTATGAGTTTCTAGGATTTCATTGCAACCATAAGGTTATGGACAAAGATTGCGACATGGTATATAAGAATGTTTCTGACATATATAAATCTGAAGAATTTAAGACCTACGACAACTTTGTTTCGTTAGTTGCTGAATGTGTATGGCAGATAAGAGATAAAGATAGAAGAGGCAAAGTATGGAACAAACAAATAAGACCCGCTATGTTTGAGATGAAGAGAGCAATTGACGCTTTAGTTGTTTTAGCTGGTTTTATTTCAATGTATAACGCAAAAATGAACCCGCAATGTTCTAAATGTAAAGCAGCAATTAGGAAATATAACTACTCCGTCAAAGAGATAGAACGTATGAGAAACGACTATGCAGATTTAAAGAAAGAAGCAGAAAAACCAGCAGAAAATAAAATGGACATGTTAGAATTTCTGAACAAAAACTATCCAACAGCAGAAGATTTCCTTCTATCTGACGTCAAGAAGAAATATAAAGAAACTTTCGGCATTGTTAAAACATTCGATGTACTAAAAGAAGAAATAGAGGCTACAAAACTGTTTAGAGTCATGAACCATCGCAACATATACCATGTAAAACGCTTGTAAATAGTTATGTTAGAAAACAGGTGAGAAAACGTGTTAGATCTAACATGCTAACATAAAATATATTTTTGCTGAATTCCGTATGAAATTTCATGAGTTTTGTGTGTTTTAGACCATGTTAGAAAACAGGTGAGAAAACGTGTTAGATCTAACATGCTAACATAAAATATATTTTTGGTCATTTACAATGAAGTCTTGACAAAACATGGAATCTCTTCCCTCGGAAAACCGAGAGAAGCAATCATATGACAAAGTCTTGACAAAACATTTAAGTTCGATGAAGTCTTGAAATTTCATGAGTTTTGTATGTTTTAGACCATGTTAGAAAAGAGGTTAGAAAACGTGTTAGATCTAACATGCTAACATAAAATATATTTTTGCTGAAAAATGACCAAATTTCATGAGTTTTGTATGTTTTAGACCATGTTAGAAAACAGGTGAGAAAACGTGTTAGATCTAACATGCTAACATAAAATATATTTTTGCTGAATTCCGTATGAAATTTCATGAATTTCCTTAAGATAGAAAAAATAAAGTTAGTTTTATTTTTTTATTTTTTTTATTTTGTATGTAAGAACAGAAATGACAAACATTGAGTTTGAAACAGTTAGAAAGATAGACAATGACACCAAAGTGGTTAGAATAGGTGATTTAAACGTAAGATACTCAAAGAAATACAACAAATATTCTTTGTCAGACATTATATCTCCATCTGGAAAGAAACCGAAGGACTGGGTTAGAATTGCTTCTACTCAGAAAATTTTGACAAGAAATCCTGAGCTTATGATATCGGTAAGATTCTATGGAACTGCAGCATATCTCATCGACAAAAGTCTTATACCAATAGTTTTGTTATGGTTAGACCCAGTTGTTGGATATAACTTCATAACATATGGTTCATTCGATACGGAACGTTGCAGTGAAGGCTTACTTTACATCGTTCAGAAACCGAAGGACTTCAATACAAAGAGATATAAGATAGGAAGAACATATAATATAACTCAAAGATATGACAGTACAGTCAATAGAGTCAAGGTTGTGTTTGTTAATGATATGAGAGCTGCAGAAACAGAACTACTTGAAAAGTTTGAGAAAATATATGGTGCTCCCATAAAAGGTAAAGAAACGTTTGAAGTAGATGAGATAGATAAAGCTATAAAATTATTTGACGAAGTTGCTGAAAAATACATGTAAAGCGTTTATTTTTGGTCTTTTGTGAAAGTCAGAAAATAACGCTAATTTTTTATAAAATATTTTTTTTATTTTGTATGTAAAGACAGATATGTCAACAACAGAGAACACAACAACAGTTATAGTCCATGAAGCTATAAATGAAGAATACGAGTACATACAGTTTAACAAACAACTCCGTCTCATTCGTTCGGTCAAAGACGATATGTACCAAATGCAAAGTATTTTGACAGCATGTTTTGCTCCAGATACTAAGAAACCACAAGACTGGTTTAGGAACCAAAGCACACTAGAACTTTTGAGCGAAGCACAGCGAGACATACTTTTTTCTGAAAACAGTGAAGAACAGCGAGTAAGTAAAAAACCCCAGTCGCCAAAACTCTATGAAAATCGTGAAAAATTGCCAAACGGTTTGAGAGGATATTATGGACATAGACATCTTGTAAATGCTGTTGCAATGTGGGCTTCGCCTCGTTATGCTTGGTATATTTACAGACTTCTTGACGAAATTCATAGACAAGAACGTGAAGAGATGGAAAACAAGCTTGAAGCAAAAGACAAAAGCATTCAGAAAAGAATACCACGTTCGGTACCAAAAGGAAAGGAAAAGAACTATAAGTATATGATTTATACTGAAGAGATGGAAAATGAAGAAGATAAAGATATGGTTATGTTGCATTTAGTCAGAAGAAACAACAAAAGCTTTTACGACCTTGCTAAGATTTACAAATCTGACAGAAATTGGTTCTATCGCGAAAACTTACCGATTTCAATGACACCGAATGAAGATGTGAAACAAATAGTTCAAGATACGTTACCTCAAACACACTATGATATTAAAGGTTGTACAATACTTACATTCAAAGAAGACTTACCATTGTTAAAGGAAAAAATAACAGAGTATTTTGACAACTTCAAACAAGTAGGGTAAATGAACTCTTTATTTTTCAAGCTTGACTTTTTACAATTTGAACTTTGTTTGCGTAGATATGAATTCTGAAAGAAGTATGAGGGTCTTGTATGACTTTGTACTTCTCCCATAGTTCATGTCTGTCAAACTTACCTGCCATGGACTCTTTCATAAGTTCCATGAAATCGTCTTCGGACAATCCGGGGAAAAGTATAATGTCAGTCAGTATTCTTTTAACATCCTTACTTAAACTCTTTGCTGTCTGTACACAAATGACAACTGAGATGTTAAAGTGTCTGAGCTTCTTAAGAATTCGACACATATCTTGTTCTCTATTCTTTAACAAAGGATGAGAGGCGAAATCATCTAAGATAAGAAGACATCTATGAGGGTATGTCTTCCAATCGTAAGATTGCAATTTCTTCGAAATGTATTCTATCTCTTTCTGTTTGTTTCTGAAGTGTTTCTTCTCTAATATTCTCTGCATTTCCTCATTTGGGTCTTTAAACTTAGAATTTATATACTCATTTATAGCATTATACTTCAAAACTCTTCTTTGGTACTTCTTTATCCAATCTAACAACTCAGTATCCTTTATACATACTAACTTAGACTTCTTTATAATATCTTTGAACGAATTGACGGTTTGGTCAAATTGACCAGAAGTACTACAAATAACAACTAACTCATAGAATGGGTTCTTCTCATCTAGTTCTTGTTGTTGTGCAGCCATTTTAAGATAAGTGAAAGTCTTACCAGACCCAGGTGGTGCAATTAGACCTGTTATACCATTCTGAGCAAATAAGAACTTGTCATGTATAGGCTTTATCTGAGCATTTTCTAACTTCACCTTGTTCTTGTTTAAAACATTCTCAAATTTTCTTGTCAATGTCAGCAAACTTTTTTTCTAACATATTTTTAGAAAAATTAAATTTTTATCTTTTAGAAAATGTCTAGCGATTTCGCTATCTATATTCGAGACAAACTTTTTGACAGCAAAACATCTGTCGACCATAAAATCTTACATAGTGTAAACAAGAAAGGTGAATTTGTTCTAAAGTTCTGTTTCTGGAATATGACAAGAACCATAAAACATTAGGCAGAGAAGTCTTAAAATTTGTCAATGACAGACTTGTTGACAGAGATGACGCCGATTGGAAAGATGAAGTCCAACAAAAGTTCTTAGAATGCAAAGAAGACACATGCGCTGTTCTTGAAGATGAAATAGAAAACAGAATAGATGAGCTATTAAAGGACAAAGAACTTTTACATAAATATGGTTCGGAGAAATTTGACATAACTCCACCAGAAAAGAAGAAGAAAGAAAAGAAAGAGAAAAAAGAAGAAGAGAAGAAAGAACCTGAACCAGTTCCAGAGAAAAAGAAATTTGACATGTAAAAATAAAATTTTATTTTTAGAACATTTCTGGGTCAATGTCAATGTTCTCTTCCTCTTTAGGAGTAAACACTGGCTTAGACTCTAAAATCTTTTTACCCAATTTACCTTGAACTTCTACAACTTTAGACTCATAATATTCATAGTCGTCTGCTTTCTTTGGTTCATAAGGTATAACAAGTTTGTATGCTTTGCCTTCTTTAAGGTTTGAAAACCTTCTGTCAAAACTTTCTTTGATTGCTAACAAACCTTCTATGTCTAAGTCTTCAAATTTCGCACCATTTTTAGTCACAATAGCAAACTTAACTGGTTCGATGTTCCAAACTTTGCTGAATGAAGACTTTTCAAAATGGTAGAAGTAAACATTCAAATATGTGAATGGGTCTAGTTCTTCTTTAAGTCCTGACATGTACTTGTTTACTGAGATGAATTTTGTCATCTTTTCTATCGGCTAAAAAAATATTTTTTTAAAAATTTACTCATAAAAAATTTTCTTTGTATATACACCATTCTGTACGTCTAAAAGACTTTTGACATTTGCCAAGAATGTTCGTTTAGACGCTGTCATATAACCATATTCTTGACAATATTGTTTATACGAATCGTACAATGACCTTTCATCTAAACACTCAAAGTCAGTTTCATCTATGAACAGTTCATATACACTCTTGTTTGCTTCTAACAATGTTTGTCTCTCTTCGGTATGTGGAATTTGTCTTGGATTGAACTTTGAAATATCTAATGTCATAAAATATGAGAACAAGTGGTTGTAAAAGTCAGATGTCAAAGTTTCTGCTAAGTCGTCAAAATATTCTGTATCTTGCATATGAGCTTCTGACGTTCTGACAACTACATATCTTCTGTCAGAACTTTCTAACTTCATCGGAACAGCATTGTTTGAAACCATAATGAAGTTTGCAACATTTTCACAAACTCTTTGGTCTTTATATTTTCTTTCAACAACTCCAACTTTGTCTGTTATAAGACTCTTCAAAGCATCTGAGTTCAAAACTTTTGTTGTATCTATACTTTGAAGTTCATTGCAAACTATAAGTTTCATATTCTCAATTGAAGAGTTAAATTTACCGCAGATGTTTTCTAAGTTTGTCATATTCGGATTCGAATAGCCCTCTAACAGTTTGCATAAGATATCTGTAAAGAATGTGTTCTTACCAGTTCCTTGTTTTCCAATTATAATGAGAGCAGTTTCATTCTTAGCACTTGGATGTTGTAAGATGTTTGCAAACCAACATAAGATATACTCATAGACTCTTTCGTTTCCATTGCATATAATTTCTTTGACATGGTCTAACCAAGCTTCTATAATATTTTCTTTCCATTCTACTTGTTCATATTTATATCCAGTGAAGATAGAATAGAAGTTTGGAGAAGGTGTATAAGAACTTTATACCTCGAACTGAAAAATCTTCTAACTTTGACAATAAGATATCCCAAGCATCTAACATCTTCATTCCAACTTGTACGACTTTTATTTTCTTAAGTTTCTGTCTACATTCTTGTTCTGAAACTATTGTCGCTTTAGGTTTGTTAAAGACAACATCCCATTCTTTCATGACATAACATTCTGGGGCAGAGTCAACATAAATGACTAAACGTTTCAAATTCTCGACTGCTTTGTTATAGTCTCGAAATGGACACATATTTCTGAATGCTTGGAAGTCATAAAATCTGAAACATCTATTCTGTACATTTTTATAAAAATAAAAAAAATATTTTTTTTATTCTTGACTTTGTTGTTGCATTTGTTGCATTTGTTGTTCTTGAGCTATTTGTTGTTGAAGTTGTTCTTGTAATACAATACTTTCACCAGTTGCATCTTCCAATTCGAAACTTTCTGCCGTCATTGACAAATACATAGGAAATAAAAGTTTTACAGGAACAAAGTTTGCGTCAACTAATGTCAACGTTATACTTGCCAAAGTGTTTGAGTTCACTAAGGTTGAAAATCTGCATTCGAATGAACAATAGGCAAACCAGCAGAGAAAGTATTGTTTATACGCATAAGTATCTTTTGGTCATAATAGTTTCTGTCGACATTCGAATAACACTTTGAACCTAAGTTTGAAACAATATATAAGATTGGTGTGCTTAATGTCAATGGAATAGACATTCCTTGTATGACACCTTTTCCTGTTATAGGAAACTGTTGGTAGTAAAAACCAGAAATAAGTTTTGTATTATAGCTCATATCGTTTATAGTAAACTCAGTCGGACATCCAAACATAATGAAACCTGCTCTAGTTGCAGCACATGTTACACCGTACTTAAAGTATTAAATAAGTCAACAAAACCTGTTGGTGGTATATCTGAGTAAGTATCTTCAAAGGAGTATTTTTTACCATTCACAACAATAAAGTCTTCTGGTGTCAAAAGAGCAAAACAGGCTTTAGTCGTCATTGTGTTTAAAGTTAGTTTACAATACCGTCTTGAGGACTTTGTAAGTTTGTTGTTATAGAATTATATGACTCAGGGTTTTTAGTCGTAATAGTATAAACCATTATATCTTCTGCCATTTACTTAGCAAATAAATTTTTAATGAAATGTTGTGGTCGTCAAATATTTTATGACGTCTGGGAAACTATACTTTAAGTTCAACGTTTCACCTCCTTTCATAACGTATATCTTGTCAATGACATTATATGAAACACCACAGCAACTAATGTCGGGTTCTATTTCTTTGATGTTTATATCGTCTGCCTCTGTCAAAGTTTCAATAGTTCTTTCAAAACTTCATGAGGTGCAATGACATATGAGTTCACTTTTACAGGGTTGTGTTCGACCAAGCTTAACATTATACTTAAAGCTTGACAAATCTTCTCCTGAGTTTGAAGTTTGTCTTTCAGTTGTTGGTAGTCGTTTCGAATATCTGCAACAGAACTTAAGTCTCTGCTAACTTCAGGATATGTTGGTTGTTCTTTTACAGGAACAATTGTTATACCATCTTCGTCTTCGTATGGTTTCCCCACTTCAACATCTCTGTCTTTGACATTGACAATAACACTTTGACTGTTTGTTTGAGTTGGTGAATTTAACTTCACATCTGCCACCGCCATTAAACCTTTTGAAACACTCACGCTTCTATTTTTCGGAAATGACATTTTACTTAGAATAAAAAGATGGACGTATTCGAGTATCTCTTCGAATTGAAGCAGAACAAAGTTTACACACACAAACAATACAAATACATTGACAGAATAGTTCTTTATACAAACAATGGTAAATGTTATAGAATAGCAATATTTGCTGAACCAAAATATTTCCATAAAGCAAAGAAAGTTGGTATAACTGAAATGGTGAAAGTTCTTGACGTTGACAAAAATATAACAACAAAACTGACCGATATTACTAAAGGAAAGTTTATAATACAATATTATGTCAAAACAGGTGTCATAACTATTTACGATGGTGAGAAAAGTGTCAAAGAACAACTTACTGACCTGCTGCCAAAATCTGCTCGATGGAAGCTGTCGTTATGCCAATCTGAGGAGCCCCAGCAGGTTTCATCGAACGAATCTTCAAAAGAGCATCTTCCGTGAAAAGTGCTATTGGTTTTGTAAACTTCTTTGCTCTCAGTTCATCTGGACCGTCTCTGTCACCAGTATATTGTATTTGTACAGTACTAACAGTTGAAATACCACCCATAAAGTCTTCTGAGTCAGCAAATGGAATGCCAAGCCAAAAGTTTGAACGGTCTCCATTTGTATATTGAGTTTTTTGACCTCCTGTATGAGTCCATACTTTCACATATGGCATAATAGAACTTTGCATTTCAGGGTTAATGGTTGTTGTGAAGTTGTTGTTAAAGTTCATAGCATCTAATGTCAAGTTGTATGACCTCATATCCTCAACTGTAGAATATTCTTCTCTTGGATAATATTTGCCATCTATGTTTATATGATATTTAATACCGGGGTTGTAGAAACAAGAATAGTCATTTATAGTTCGTCTGAACAGTACAAACATAGTATCTGCATGTTTCATTGCAGTTGTTAAAGCAATATCTGTTCTTGCACCTGGGTCAGCACTTTGGTTTCCAACTTCACCTGCAAAGTCTTTGACAGATATTTGGTGTATAGGGAACATAAGTGGAACTGCAATATATTTGGCAGCTAAAGCATTTGAAATATCTGGGTCCAACATATAGACTGCAAGTCTGCTTTCTATTCTCTTGCATTCAAATTTTTCGCATGTAAACTTAACTGGGTCCCAAGCAGTTCCAGCAGCATTGAAATAATAGTTTACTTCATTGTTGAAGTTTGAGAAACCAAAGTCTAAGTCAACTTTGTCTTTGCAAAATTCGGCGAATGACGTTTGATTTGTTCCCTTTACGTCTGTAATAGTGAATGGGTCTTGTGTTGGTGCAATGACTAAGTTATTTTTGCTTGGAGTAAGTTCGATAGAAATTTTTCCTGCCCAGTTTGGCAAGTATCTTAAAAACCTGAAGATGAGGAAAGATGACAAAGGAACTCTAAGTTTCAGTTTTACTTTGGTTACTGCTGCTGCAGTTTGTCCAGAAAGGTTAACATAAACTCCTGGAACGTTAGGGTCAAGTCTTCTTATTTTCTCAATAGTTGCATACTGGTCTGTTTGTTCTCTAGCTTGTGGTTGTACTGAGTTTCTCAAAGCGAACCATTCATAGTTTGCCCATGTTACTGTTTGAACTAAGTCAGAGTTAGAATATATCTTATATCCCATGAAAACTTCTGGAGCATATTGGTATCCGACATAGAAAATTCCATTGCAACCTTTCTTGTCAGACAACTTGGCAGAAGGTTTTATTTCAATGTCTTGTTCCACGTATAAGAATGAGTTGTCAATAGAAATAATATGAAACCTGTCGCAAGCAATATCTACTGTTGTTGAAGAACCTTCTCCAAACTCACCTACGTTTCCATAAGAAACAGCAGTTGTATATTCGTAAGTTCCAGGAACTATTTCTGACCTTCTAATGGCATTGTCGCATTCGTTATACCATTCGGAAACATTTCCGTTCATGGCATCCAAAACTGTTGGCGTTATATTCTGAGCGGCGTACATTTCATATGGGTAAAAATATAGAATAGTTGGATTTATGTGTCATAATAGAACCCACTCGGACCAAGCTTTACTTTCTTCCTGACTGAGTTTTTTAACTCTTCTTTTTCCTTCATTGCCACTACTTTCACTAGATGAAGTTACTTCTTCACTATTTTCACTTTGTTCTACTCTTCTCTTCTTCTTTGGTGTCGCTTTTGGTAACTTGCCCTCTGCTTCAAGTTGTTGCATCTTTGCCTCATGTTCACCTAGTATGTTGTAAATTTCCCATGTCCTTTTTGCCTTTGGGCTTGTCGCCCATCTCAGGTAACCAATATCCTAGAAGATTTTGTCATAGTTTGTATTTGAGTCTTCGCGTATTGTTTGCATGACTCTTTCCTGAGTTTCCGGTTCAAGCTCTTCAAATATAGCTTGTCCATATGGAATAAGCTCGTTTCCAAATATTGTTTTTGTAGCCATTCTGGTTTTCTTTTCCATGTTACCAATAATATCTTTTGTGAATGGGAAAGCTTTTACCCAATGTTTCAGTCTTGCGTCATTTATTTCTGTAGTTGGTTTTATTTTGTCAAGGAACTGTTTTTCAATACTAACATTTCATTTGGTACTGTCCATTTGAGTTTTCTTAAATATTCATCCCTTCTCAGTTCATTGTCTGCAAAGTAAGTTTTTATGACATTTTGCAACTTTCGTTTGCAAGGTCATGTACAATAGGTTCTCTTCCTTCTATCTCCCTAACTTTCTTTCTAAACTCTTCACCAAATATACCATCTTTATGGTTCTGTGTAGTTCTTTGAGATAAATGTTTTAGAACGTCAGGTGTTATATTTCCATCAGCCATGTTCATTTCATACTGGTCCAAAATATCTGCATGTTTCATATCTTTCAATGGCATTAAAGCCGCGCTGAAAATACCAGCTATATCTGGTTCACCATTCACTTCCATTGCGTCTACAACTTCTTGGAATTGTGGTTGTAAGTTTATGAACCACCTATCCGAATTAGCTTTATGACCCCATCTCATTGTAGTTCCATAGTCTGCAGAAACAAAAGTAGGTTTGTTTCCATATTGGTTAGGTTCTGAATGAACTTTAAAACAATGTTTCATTTTCTATATGTTTTGGTGAAATTTAACCTTTTTTTTCACCGAGTTCAGCCAAAGATTGAACGTTATATGGTCGTAAGTAAAAAGGATTGTTGTATTTGCGTACACTTTCTTTCAGTACTTCCATTCTATGCTGAATATTTTCATCTGATGTTGGAGTCTTTTGTATGTCGGCGAACATTTTTCGATATTCTTCTACTATGTCAGCCGAATTTTTCTTAGACTCTTGGAAAGATTCCATATTCCCGCATACACTTGTTGAGGGTCAAGATTTTTCGGCTGTTCCAAATCTTCATCTAGTTCTGTGAAGTTAATTTCCAAAGGAGGGACTTGTTTGTTTCCTTCAGGCTCTTCTAGCTGTTGTTGCTGAACTATTTCTTCCATGTCTGGTTGTATCTGAACTTCTTCCTATGGAGTTTCTTGTACCTCATCTGCTGGCATTTCATATATTCCGAGACCGTTTTTAAAAAGTTCCCTATCTAAGTCATCCGGACTCATAAACCTTTCTTCTTTCGTTCCGTCTCTATTTTTACGCGTTTCATGAAGAGAGTTGAATTATCATTTAGCTCTGACACCAAATATCTCGGAGTAAATTCATTCATGTCATTTGGATGATATGCTATTAAATCATATCCCTTAGCGAGCTTGTATTTTCCAGGTTTGAAATTATATCCCATTTGGTGCTGAACCATAAAGCTAAATAGGTTCGGGTCAGTATTTCCTTCCTTGAACTTTCTAATAGCTTCTTTATATCTGTCACTAAAGTCAAGAGTATCTGGGTAACCATAATTTTCCTTAAGCATTTTTAAGAATTCTTGGTTTCCTTGTTCTCTACTTCTTTTATGTCCTTGCTCTGTTTGTGGTTGTTGTGGTGCAGTGTTTTGAACTGTTGGTTGTGGTGCAGTGTTTTGAACTGTTGGTTGTGGTGCAGTGTTTTGAACTGTTGGTTGTTGTGCTGGATTTTGAACTGTTGGTTGTTGTGTTGGTTTTGTTGCATGCCTGTGTCTGTGTCCATGTGACGATGTAAATGTTTTAGGTAGTCCTGGTGCAGGTGCTTCTCTTGGAGGGTTTGGTGGTATATAAGTTCCACTAGCTAGTATATAAGTTCCACCAGCTGGTATATAAGTTCCACCAGCTGGCACATATGTTCCATCTGCAGCATAATGTCCTACCTGACTTTTCGTTCTTAAGAAAGCATTTACTAGGTCTGTTTTGGTCTGTTGTAACTCTTTTTCTTGACTTTCCACAACAGTTGCTCTAACGGCGTCATAGGCACTTTGAACTGCCTGTCTCGTTGCTGCATCTGTTATTTTCGTCATATTTTGTGCTACTTCTCTTAACTCGTTGTCGAAACCTTCAGACTTCAGTTTCTTTCCAGATGAGAAGTCGTTCACTAGTTTCACCTTACTATGAAGAGCTTCGAAGGCGTTCTTAAAGTCAGCATTCATTAAAGCTTCATTTGCTTCTTCATCCGCTTGTATTTTTGTCCTTATTGACCCTATAAGTTGGGCTGCTTTTGGCGTTGGCTTGGGCATCTAACCAGTCATTATTAGCTTTTATATATTCTGCGCTTTTCATTGCCTTTTGCATGGCTGCGTCGTTTTTTTACTTTCTTGTGCTAAGTTTTCATACTGTACGGTTTGGTTTTGCAACTGTAAAAGTTTTTCTGCCTTTACATTTGCTTCAACTTCTTTTTATACTCATCGCTATCCATATATGTCTTCAGGGCTTTTTGTTTTATCTCTTCATCTTTCAGTACTTTATATTGAGTAGTATGGTTTTTCAAATTTATAACATCTTGTTCCATTTTTGCTACTTCTGCTGCTTTTTCTGACACTTTTTTCGCATATTCCTCTGTACTTAGTTCTTTCAGTTGTTCTTCTTTCTTCTTTTTCTCTACGTTTAACTCATTGAGTTTCTTTGTGTGTCTGTCATATTCTAGTTTCTTTTCGTTTTCACTTATTTGTTTCTGTATAAAACGAAGGTTTTATCACAAACGAATACAAATACATTGACAGATAGTTCTGTTTACACAAACAATGGATAAATGTTATAGAATAGCAGTCTTTGCTGAACCAAAATATTTTCATAAAGCAAAGAAAGTTGGTATAACCAGAATGGTGAAAGTTCTTGACAGTTGACAAAAATATAACACACAAAACTACAGAATATTCTAAAGTAAGTTTATAATACAATTTATGTCAAAACTGGCCGTACTGTCAATATTTGACAGGAGAGAAGTCAGTTCAAGAACAACTTTACTGAACCTGCTGCCAAAATCTGCTCGATGGAAGCTGTCGTTATGCCAATCTGAGGAGCCCCAGCAGGTTTCATCGAACGAATCTTCAAAAGAGCATCTTCCGTTGAAAAGTGCTATTGGTTTGTAAACTTCTTTGCTTTCATTCATCTGGACCGTCTCTGTCACCAGGTATATTGTATTTGAACTGTACCAACAGTTGAAATACACCCTAAAGTCTTCTGAGTCAGCAAATGGAATGCCAAGCCAAAAGTTTGAACGGTCTCCATTTGTATATTGAGTTTTTTTGACCTCCTGTATGAGTCCATACTTTCACATATGGCATAATAGAACTTTGCATTTCAGGGTAATGGGTTGTTGTGAAGTTGTTGGTTAAAGTTCATGCATCTAATGTCAAGTTGTATGACCTCATATCCTCAACTGTAGAATATTTCTTCTCTTGGATAATATTTGCCATCTATGTTTATATGATATTTTAATACCAGGGTTGTAGAAACAAAGAATAGTCATTTATAGTTCGTCTGAACAGTACAAACATAGTATCTGCATGTTTCATTGCAGTTGTTAAAGCATATCTGTTCTTGCACCTGGGTCAGCACTTTGGTTTCCAACTTCACCTGCAAAGTCTTTGACAGATATTTGGTGTATAGGGAACATTAAGTGGGAACTGCAATATATTTGGCAGCTAAAAGCATTTGAAATATCTGGGTCCAACATATAAGACTGCAAGTCTGCTTTCTATTCTCTTGCATTCAAATTTTCGCATGTGAACTTAACTGGGTCCCAAGCAGTTCCAGCAGCATTGAAATAATAGTTTACTTCATTGTTGAAGTTTGAGAAACCAAAGTCTAAAGTCAACCTTGCTTCTTGCAAAATTCCGAAACTTGAGTCCCGTTCGTCTGTAAGAGTGAATGGGTCTTGTGTTGGATGCATGACTAAGTTATTTTTGCTTGGAGTAAAGTTCGATAGAAATTTTTCCTGCCAGTTTGGCAAGTATCTTTAAAAACCTGAAGATGAGGAAAGATGACAAAAGGAACTCTAAGTTTCAGTTTTACTTTGGTTACTTGCTGCTGCAGTTTGTCCAGAAAGGTTAACATAAACTCCTGGACGTTAGGGTCAAGTCTTCTTATTTTCTCAATATTGCATACTGGTCTGTTGTTCTCTAGCTTGTGGTTGTACTGAGTTTCTCCAAAGCGAACCATTCATAGTTTGCCCATGTTACTGTTTGAACTAAGTCAGAGTTAGAAATATCTTATATCCCATGAAAACTTCTGGAGCATATTGGTATCCGACATAGAAAATTCCATTGCAACCTTTCTTGTCAGACAACTTGGCAGAAAGGTTTATTTCAATGTCTTGTTCCACGTATAAGAAGAGTTTCAATAGAAATTATATGAAACCTGTCGCAAGCAATATCATACTGTTGTTGAAGAACCTTCTCCAAACTCACTACGTTCCATAAAGAAACAGCAGTTGTATATTCGTAAGTTCCAGGAACTATTTTCTGACCTTCTAATGCATTGTCGCATTCGTTATAACCATTCGGAAACATTTCCGTTCATGGCATCCAAAACTGTTTGGCGTTATATTCTGAGCGGCGTA